AATGAAAAGCGTAGTAATCACAGATAACACGGCAGGGTCCGTGACAGTTTGTTTTCATCTGATTTCAATTAAACAAAGTCTTGGTTTTAAGAATATTAAACTTGTTTCGCCAAATTCAGAAGATAAAAACAACTTTGAAGCTAAAGGCATAATTACAAGAGGCAACTCAACGTCACAGCCGGTGTTTCTTGTGAGGGTTTCCCCGGGAAACAAACACAATACACACAAACGCGTCACAGATTATTTCGCGGTATTTGAAATCATGTACGCAGCTCGCGACGTAACTAGGAGTCTAGTGGACGGTATCAGTACTACAAGTAAAACAAATAATTTTATTTTTTTTATTACATTTTTTTTAATTAATTACTTGTTTATAAATTAATCTGAGGGCCGCAAAAAGAGGAGGTGGGGGCCGCATGTGGCCCGCGGGCCGCCATTTGCCCATCCCTGACCTAGGTCAACCAATAAAGAACAAGAGCAACCTCTGTTTTTAAATCCTCCAGTGATGCATTTACTGACGTATTTGATGTCACAACCACGTTAAAATCTCTTCAGCTCGTGTTAACCTCAGACCTTATTTCAGGATAACAACCAAAAACACACTCAGGAGACCGTTGACCTCCAGACCAGGGGACAGGAAGCTAGGAAACTCATTCCTGCCGAATCCTCTTTGTATCTTCTGCTGAATTTCTGGTTTTGAGACATATATATTTTTTTCCTGAAACACAAAAGACATCTCCCCGTCCCCCAATAGCAGCGCCAAGCCAGCACACAGCTGGACCACATCAACGAATCAGCTGCTCAAACACCATGTGCTCTGAGGCACTACACAAACTTTTAACCAAACTTTCTACAAAATAACCCGTAGGACGAGCCTCCATGTTATGACACACCATATCAACGGTTAATCAAATAATTTATTTAAGCAAGTCATTCAAATCAACCAAATGTAATGAAGTGCAAAATAAGTAAAGCACGAGGTGTGGACGTCAGTGGTGTCAGTAGTGTAAAGCAGGGTGAGGGTTGCATGGACGTGTATGTGAGAGGGTGTTGAGGTGCACAAAGTAAAGCAACTGAAGTAACAAATGGCATACTCAACAAAACCGGGTGCCTGTTAGTGTTGCACGGTGTACCGATACTTGAAAGGTACCGCGATACCCTGCCGTTAAAAACGTTATGATTCCTCCGTTTCATTAGTATCGGTACTTTCAGAATGACGGGGAAAAGTACTCCGGTGAGAAAGCGCTGTTTTAATAAGAGCCGTGTGTGTTCAGCGCTCTGCTTCCACTCCCTGCACCGCAGCCGTGCCTGCAGTCCCTCCCCTCTCAAGCACGCTCTAAGTCCCTCCCCTCTCAAGCACGCTCTAAGTCCCTCCCCTCTCGTGCACGCTCTAAGTCCCTCCCCTCTCAAGCACGCTCAGGGCTGAAGTGGAATAGTCCATTTATCTTAGGAACCTTCCTAACGGAGTGAAATGACCCGGAAGTCCCTCAGTGGCAGCCATGATAAGAGCCGTTCCAATTCTCCAAATGAAAGGAAAGGAGGTTTCAAACTTCCTTTATCACCTCCTTTAGCTTAGGAACCACTGGACCTCCCTCACCGAAAGGAGAGGAGAAAATGCTGCCCCACAATGCATTGCGGCCGCAGCATTTGCCGTCACTCAACAGTCGGTCGTTCACGGAAACAACCGATTATGACGGAGAAATGATATCATGAAAGTTACGGTGCTTATTAAGCATTTTAAAACGTAGGTGGTAAGTTGCCAAAGTGCTTTGTTCTGAACGTTCATCAGTATTATAATCAAAGAGAGAAATATGAACGTTAGTTTTTACTGAAATGATCAAATAAAGTCAACATCTCACAGTCTTTACTGAGCTGTGGGGTTTGTTCAACTTTTAAAAGATGTTTGAATGGTGATATACACAGTGATAGATGTTAAGGACTAACGTTTATAATAAATACATCTGTATTGATTTAAGATCTTTTCATCAATCATACGTATTGGGATCATTTGTATTAATGAGGACCGGAGGGAGAGGGGGACGAGCAGAAGCTTCACTTTCCTTTTTATTTCAATTCCAGCTTTGGTCCTGAAGAATATGTTTCTCTGTTGTCCACGTTCATAAAGCCTAAAGCAACAGCGTCAGAGCACAGAGTCTCTAGATGAGTTCACAGGAGTCCCTCGTTCTTATTGAACATCCATGTTGTAGTCCGCTGTATAGAGAACTGTAGTCTCCATAGTTTCCCCACAGCAGCAGACGCTCATTCAGGACGTCCGCTGGCGCATCAGAAACACGTGGGATAGTGAAAGTGCAGTCGATTCTCTAAAGTACCGCAGTCTCTTCTCCTAAGTCCTTTTGGATTCTCCTATCCACTATCCCTTAACCCCGTGACCTTTCACTCAGAGGTCAAGGAATAAACGATAGGAGCTGATTTTTGGATTATCCGACCGCAACCCTAGTCTAGTCCCTCCCCTCTCTTGTGCACGCACTAGCTGCCAGAGCATGTGAGAAAACGAGAAGCATGGCTGCAAGTGGGAGTGCAACTGCCGCTGCGCCTCGGCTTGTTGACACAAAAGACGCCAGAAGCGAAAAACAAAAAAGTTGTTTGAGATGATGCTTAATTTGATTTAATACAAATTCTAGTCATTTATTTTATTTATTGTTCTCATTGTTTAAAAGTTTGTGTTCTGGTTCTGGTGTGAAATAAAGCACAATAATTACATTTAAGACTGTTTCCCTTTTTTTAAGAAAAGTATCGAAAAAGAATCGGAATCGCAATTCTTGGCTTGGTATCGAAACCAAAATGTTGGTATCGTGACAACACTGCCTGTAGGAAAAAGCAGAGAGACAGAGAGGAGAAGAGAGGCTTTAAGTAGCTGCAGGGCACCAGAGGCCTGTACTACGAAGCAGGATGTTCTCTTAGCGGCTAACTTCAGGGAAAACTCTGGGTTTCCGGTCCTACGACGCTGGTTCTCTTTTTAGATCTCCAAGGCAAGTTTATTTATAAAGCACCTTTCAACACAAGGCAATTCAAGGTGCTTTACAAAAATGAAAGACATTCAGACAAAGGCATTTAAAATCAGTAAAAGAAACATTAAAAGAAAAAATACATGAATAAAAAAGTTACAGTGCAGTTTAAGATATGAATAGTTCACACAGAAGTTACACTTTACTGATGAACACAACGGCTCAGTTTCAATTAAAAGCAGCGGCAAAAAGACAAGTCTTCTTGCTGGATTTAAAAGTAGTCAGAGTTGCAGCGGACCTGCAGGTTTCTGGGAGTTTGTTCCAGATACTTGGAGCATAATAACTGAACGCTGCTTCTCCATGTTTAGTTCTGACTCTGGGGACAGAAAGCTGACCAGTCCCTGAAGACCTGAGAGATCTGGATGGTTCATCATTTAGCAGGAGGTCAGAAATGTATTTTGGGCCTAAACCATTCAGTGCTTTATAAACCAGCAGCAGTATTTAGAAATCTATTCTTTGACACACAGGAAGCCAGTGTAAAGACTTCAGAACAGGAGTGATCCACTTTCTTAGTGTTAGTGAGGACTCGAGCAGCGGCGTTCTGAATCAGCTGCAGCTTCCTAATAGATGTTTTAGTGAGACCTGTGAAGACACCATTGCAGTAGTCGAGTCTACTGAAGATAAAAGCATGGACAAGTTTTTCCAAATCCTGCTGTGACATTAGTCTTTTAATCCTAGATATATTCTTTAGGTGATAGTAGGCTGATTTAGTAACTGTTTTAATGTGACTGTTGAAACTCAGGTCAGAGTCCATGACTACACCTAGATTTCTGGCTCTATCTGTTGTTTTGAACATTGCAGACTGAAGCTCAGCGCTAACTTTTATACGTTCTGACTTGGCTCCAAAAACCATTACCTCAGTTTTATCTTTGTTTAATTGGAGAAAGTTCTGACACATCCAGTCATTGATTTGTTCAATGCACTTACTCAGTGTTTGAATTGGAGCATAGTCTCCTGGTGAAATTGTTACGTACATTTGTGTGTCATCTGCATTGCTATGGTAACTTATTTTGTTGTTCTTCATTATCTGAGCCAGTGGTAGCATGTAGATGTTAAAGAGAAGAGGCCCCAAGATGGAGCCTTGAGGAACCCCACATGTCATATTTGTCAACTCAGATTTGTATTTACCTATAGAAACAAAGTTGTTTCTGTCCTCCATGGTAACTGATGCTGTGCGGCTAACCTGCTCCAGAGCAGGTTAGGTTGCAGGCTCAGAGATCAACTCAGTGAAAGCACTGCCTGCTGACCAATCAGAGCTCAGTGTTCAGAGTTTAAAGCGATCAAGTCATATTACAGGAGAAAGGAAATACAGAAAAGCTGCCGTTGCAGGAAAGACGGCCGGCAAAAATCAGCGACTGTGTGAACGTGAACAAGAATAGAATATCAGCTCCATCTTCAGAGCAATCTGACTATTAGAACATTAGCGTTAAGAAAGCTTACTGAAATATCTGCCACAACATAAGTAACCGGATCAGAGTAACATTAAGTACAGTCTGCGGCATATCACTTCATAATGTATCATATATCTCCTGATCTGAGTCAGCTGAGCCGTATCTGGCCGTGCAACACTCACAGCGTCACAGACTGGATGCAGAAGGATTATTTTAAGCAACACATTAAGTTGAGGAAACACTGGAGTCAAATGTAATTAAAGTCAGATGGTGTCTTAGACGGGCAGTGATATCATAAAGCTGTTAATGTACGCATTCAAACACTTGTTCTGTTCCCAGCTGTATTCACCTTGCAGGTGCAGCTCTGTGGCTTTGATCCTGGATCAAGTGTTTAAGTCATGGATGTTTCAACTTTAACTTCTTCATATGTCTAATATTATAGTTGACTTTTCATTCAGGAAGTATGACGCTGCGCTGTCAGTGCGCTTCTCCATGTCTGTGATTGGTCGAATGCTCCAAATACCACCCCTCTCATGTGAACACCTAACTAGATAGGACACGGCTGGCTTGAGCGATCCACTTGATAACCAGCGTCGTAGGACCGCTTAGCGAGAGCGCGTTTGTTTTGGATTAGGCCAACCGGCTAACTCATATCCAGGTTAGGTTGAACCTGCTTCGTAGTACAGGCCTCTGACCCAGGTGCCCTGAGGTACTGCAATCAAGGCTGGGCACAGCACAGCCACACCCTCTCCAGATGAACCCACAGTGGCATCACATCAGTGACAGAAGGAGAAGTATAAAACCTAACAAACCATAAAACCTAACATCCATAATTGTCAAGGCAACACCCTTCTGTCTGAGGACATTCAGTAGTTAGGGTTTGATTTAAACTTTGAGAAGATCAACCCAAGATAAACCTATATATATTGACTTATGATACATTTCCATGATATGTTTGACCCTCAGAAAAACAACCGAAGTTCAGACCGGTCGATGGATCTTTCGATGGATCGTCCAATGGATCGTCCAATGGATCGTCCGACGGATCGTCCGACGGTTCGTCCGACGGATCGTCCGATGGATCGTCAGATGGATCGTCCGATGGATCGTCCGATGGATCGTCAGATGGATCGTCAGATGGATCGTCAGATGGATCGTCAGATGGATCGTCAGATGGATCGTCAGATGGATCCTCCGATTGACCGGCCTGTGAGGCAGGTCAAAGGTCAGGAAAGTCAGGTGGTCTTCTTCAACAACATGCCCAGAGACGAGAAGGATAAGAAGGAGCTGCTTACCATCGCGGCTCGATTCGGAGAGGTGGAGAAACACCTGTTCCTCACAGACCAGGTAATGATATGAGCATTACTTTAGCATACTATACCATTCTAAACAAGTGAACTTAGCAAAGTTATAATACAGGATATAAACGAATTAAGTTATCGATCTTGAGGAGCCTGGTGATTTCCCCCCCCCCCCCTACTGGATATAAAGTGGATTCAAGGCCTTTATTGTCATTTGTACATAGCTACAGTGTAGATATGTACAAATGAAAATCTCAGGTCACAGGCTCCTCCAACAGAGCAACACAATAAAACAGATGAAATAGTGCAAGGAGAGTCTATATACAATGTTTCTGTGTGTTTGCAGGCGTTTGTGCAGCTGGGGACTCCGGAGGACGCAGAGATGCTGGTGAAATATTACAACGTTCACTCTCTCACCATCAAGGGCCGACCCATCCGCCTCAACATCTGCACCAAGTACAAGACCCTCAAGTGAGTCACACCCCCGGGGATACACTGTAAACTAGTTGTGTGTTTCCCCCGTTGTCTTTATTCAATCACAACACAGAACAAAGACAACAGACTGTGTACATTATTTTGTTTGTATTTATTTATTTTAATGTATGAATATCTCATCTGAGGCACATTTCTGTTTCCAGTGTGAACAAGAAACTTGGAGGCGCTCGAGGCCCGAGGACCGGAGGACCAAACGCCTCCAGAACCTCCTCAACCGCCTCCAGAACCTCCTCAACCCCCTCCAGAACCTCCTCAAACCCCTCCAGAACCTCCTCAAACCCCTCCAGAACCTCCTCAAACCCCCCCAGAACCTCCTCAAATCCCCCCAGAACCGCCTCCTCTTCCTCCAGGTCCAGATCCAGGAGTCGGGAGGAGAGGAGGGAGGAGGAATCGAAGGCTGAGGAGGCTGAGGAGGAGCAGCCGGCGGCAGGAGAAGAGGAGGAGGTTTCAGGAGTCATGGAGGGGGAGGAGGAGAAGGAGAATGAGAATGTGGATGTGAAGGAGGAGGAGGAGGAGACGGTGATGGAAACTATGGAGGAGGAGGAGGAGGAGGAGGAGGAGAAGAAGCAGGAGGAGGAGAAGCAGGAGGAGGAGGAGAAGCAGGAGGTGAAGCAGGAGGTGAAGCAGGAGGAGAAGCAGGAGGAGGACAAACAGGAGGACAAACAGGAGGAGGTGAGGAAACAGGAAGGAGTAGTAACTTATTTTAACATTTACTTACATTTTTATTGACATTTCTATAAACGTACAATTCATAAAATACATTTTAACCAGTTTAGCCCTGAGCCTGTGTTTCAGGTCTCAGGCTCCAAAAGGACATTCCCAACAAATGACCATATCTTCTAAAAGGGCTAAATTAATAACCTTTTTTCTCAAAGTAATGATAAACCTGTGAGTTGGATGCAGAAGAGTCAGAATCAATATAGATGTTTTTTATTTTAAAGAAAATTCAGATTGAACACAGTAAAAAACTGTAAATTATAGTGTCCGTCCAAAAATTATTTTTTACTTACAGTGAAAACTAACCTTGGATGACGGGTTAGTAGACTAAAAGCTTTAGGAATCCAAAGTACAACATATAACAGGGCTCGACATTAAGGGCTGCCCGATGGCCCGGGGCCATCTAGTATTTAGCTCGGGCAATGAAGCCTCACCTGCTGGTTGCCCGATCGGGCAATCTATCATGCCAGTATCATGCAGCTCGCGGGTCCAGTAATGAGTGACCCGACAGTAAAACTAAACATATCTATAACTAGTTTAGGTAGTTTGAGAGGTAATTCAAATAGCTACGTGTGATATTCTAACCTGAAGTGTGTGTTTTGTCCGCTCACCGCTGCATGTGATCATGCAGAGCTGCGTATCAACTCGTCAGCAGCAGCTGATCTCTCTCTCCCGTCAGATTAGACTTCACTCGCGTTTATGTCCATATCGATCAGATCTAGCTAGTTCTAGCTAATGATAAGACTACCTGCTTATTAAAAGACACCTAAACAATAAGTGTCGCTATGCAACCGGGTGAGGCCACAAAGTATAGCGCAGCATTATGCATTTGTTTACATGCCCACCGGAACCCCGAGGCATTACCAACAGATCAACGCACAATCAACCCACACAGGACATCTCTTTCTTTCTGAATGTAATGTTTTCTACTTATTTACATCTGGGAAGGCATTTGCCTTCATCAGATGGAAAGTGTCTTGACCAACAACTTAAGTATTTCTTATAGCTGCAGGGCATGCAAGCGAGCAAACACAAACAAGAACAAACTATAAAATTGAAATTGTACAATATAATATTGTGGTGGTTCATCTTATAATTCAGTCTAGAGAATGCACCAGACAGCATCTAAGACCTGCAAAAATCAACATTTTCTAGGGGGAGGCCCCCCATTTTTCAGGGCAATCTCTATTGGGCTCAGGGCCATCTGTAAATTAGCTTAGATGGCCCTGAGCCCAATAGAGACTGTACATTTTTTGGGTGGAAATGGGGGTTTTACCGTTTCTCTGGAACCCATTGGTCGATTTTGGTGATTGACATCTCTTTCTGACCATTAGAGCCAATAGAATCGAAGGGGGATTTCCCCACTCACACACATGGTAAAACACAAAGGTGGGGGCTTCGCTGCAGCAGGTTTGCATCAGAGTGAACCTTTCTCTCGCTCTGACATCTGGAAATGGAAAAGCAGGTTTATTGCTTATGGATGATCAGAAATCATTCAAAGGGACTCAGACACATTGGATTAACCTATGGATTAACTTCAGCAGCGTGTTTATCGTTTTAATGCCATTGAAGACGACTTTTGACCAGATTACCACACAGGTGAGCCATGTTAGCGTTTTTAGCTACCTAGCGCCACATGTTTTGATGTCTGTTCTTGTTTATAAAGTCGCGAGTTCGTATCATTGAGTGATGTCTGTACCCATCGACTCTGTGTCATCTCACGATCAGATCGATGGGTTGGATGTGCAGAATGGATAAATAATAAGGTTTTGTGTGTGAGTTTCGGTGCAGTAATCTGTTAGCATTTTTCGCTCGTTGCTAATTCAGAGGCTCAGCGTTAGCATTGTGGGGTTTTTTTTTAATTAAAATGATCAGTTAGATGAGTTTCTTCCCGTTACATGGATATATAACATTCATAGTTTATAAATGAACATGCCCTCAGACACTGTTTCCTGCAAGATGTTGCAGGAGGGCCCCGGTAGGTTTATTGCTTATGGATTATCAGAAATCATTCAAAGGGACACAGACACATTGGTTAACCTATGGATTAACTTCAGCAGCGTTTTTATCGTTGTAATGCCATTGAAGACCACTTTTGACCAGACAACGACAAAGGTGAGCCATGTTGCCGGTTTTAGCTACCTAGCGCCACATGTTTTGATGTCTGTTCTTGTTAATAGCTTTGCGAGTTCTTATCATGGAGTGATGATGTATCTACCCATCGATTCCGTGTCATCTCACGATCAGATCGATGGGTTGGGCGTGCAGCTACGATAAGTAATAAGGGTGTTATGAGTGAGTTTCTGTGCAACACGCCGTTAGCATTTTTCGCTCGTGGCTAATTCATAGGCTCAGCGCTAGCTTTGTGGGTTTTAAAAAATAAAATAAAAATAAAGTTCGCTGAGTTTCTTCCCGTTACATGGATATAAAACATTCATAGTTTATTGAATATTAAGATGCCCTGAGACGCTGTTTCCTGCAGATGACGCGTTTTTCCCCCCGGTATCGGGGGTGCAGGTTAAATAAAGATAAATAATAAAAAAGTATCTGTTATCAATGTTTGTTAAAGGTCCCATGGCCATTTCTACTGATCATAGTTCCATTGTTGAGGTCTACTAGAATAGATTTACATTGTTCAATGTTCCAAACTCACATTGGTTTCTCACAGCATCTCTGTAGAGTCTGTGTATTCACTCTCTGTCCTACACGGCTTGTTGGAGCTCTTGCCCCCCCCCCTCGTGAGCCCAGCGAAACCCAGCCTGAACACACACACCCGCAGCCTGGCTGGGAGTTTGTGTGTGTGCTCACACACCGACTCACAGCCTCGCTGCATTCCCGCCGTCTCAGGGAGGAGAAATCGGCAGAGCTGCAGCTGAGAAAAGATTGAGTGTGTATGTGAGGAAGTCTGCGGATTGTTCCATTTGGGTATGGTCACGTCACTGTACCCAGGTACTGTACAGATATTTTCTGTGTTAGAGTTTTACTCCCTACAGGGTGTACTTTGAGGGTTTGTGACTCTGCAGACCGTTCACATGCAGAAAACCTTCATAACACACAAGGGGACGGGTAATAACCGGAAAAGCATGACATGGGACTTTAAAATTTGTTATTTTTACACCATGTTTTAGTTGGTGACGTTTGAATGTCTTTATGCAGGTTCCTGATGATGTCACTGATGACACACCTGTTGAAGTGGCCGGGGCTCCAGGGGAGATCACGCAGGGGGCGGAGTCAGAGGCCGCGCCAGAACCCGAAGTCTCTGCAGAAAAAGAACCGAAGGCAGAACCAGAGGAGAACCAGGAGGGAGAACCGCCTGCTGACAGCGTACGCTTTATAACGTTTATTAGTATTATCCATCCATCCATCTTCTCCCGCTTATCCGTGGTCGGGTCGCGAAGGTATCAGTTCCAGCAGAGAGCCCCAAACTTCCCTTTCCCTTAGAGATATGATCCCTCCACCTGGTCCTGGGTAGAGATATGATCCCTCCACCTGGTCCTGTGTAGAAATATGATCCCTCCACCTGGTCCTAGCTAGAGATATAATCCCTCCACCTGGTCCTGGGTAGAGATATGATTCCTCCACCTGGTCCTAGGTAGAGATATGATTCCTCCACCTGGTCCTAGGTAGAGATATAATCCCTCCACCTGGTCCTGGGTAGAGATATGATTCCTCCACCTGGTCCTAGGTAGAGATATGATTCCTCCACCTGGTCCTAGGTAGAGATATGATTCCTCCACCTGGTCCTAGGTAGAGATATGATTCCTCCACCTGGTCCTAGGTAGAGATATGATCCCTCCACCTGGTCCTAGGTAGAGATATAATCTCTCCACCTGGTCCTAGGTAGAGATATGATCCCTCCACCTGGTCCTATGTAAAGATATGATCCCTCCACCTGGTCCTAGGTAGAGATATGATCCCTCCACCTGGTCCTAGGTAGAGATATAATCCCTCCACCTGGTCCTATGTAGAGATATGATCCCTCCACCTGGTCCTAGGTAGAGATATAATCCCTCCACCTGGTCCTAGGTAGAGATATGATCCCTCCACCTGGTCCTATGTAGAGATATGATCCCTCCACCTGGTCCTAGGTAGAGATATAATCCCTCCACCTGGTCCTATGTCTACCCCTTGGTCTCCTCCCAGCTGGACGTGCCTGGAACACCTCCCTTGGGAGGCGCCCAGGTGGCATCCTTACCAGGTGGCATCCTTACTAGGCGGCATCCTGGCTTCTTTCAATGCGAAGGAGCAGTGGCTCTACTCGGAGTCCCTCCCGGATGACTGAACTTCTCACCTTATCCCTAAAAATAAGAATTTGTTCTTAATTGATTTTCCTGGCTAAATAAAGGTTATAGTACTACTACTACTACTACTACTACTACTACTACTACTACTAGGGAGACGCCAGCCGCCCTGCGGAGAAAACCCATCTCAACCGCTTGTATCCGAGATCTCGTTCTTTCGGTCATGACCCATCCTTCATGACCATAGGTGAGGGTAGGAACGAAAATGGCCCGGTAGACAGAGAGCTTTGCCTTCTGGCTTAGCTCTCTTTTCGTCACAACGGTGCGGTAAAGCGACTGCAGTACCCCTCCCGCTGCTCCGATTCTCCGGCCCATCTCACGCTCCATTGTTCCCTCACTCGAGAACAAGACCCGAGATACTTGAACTCCTTCACTTGGGGTAAGGACTCATTCCCTACTTGGAGTGGACAGTCCATCGGTTTCCTGCTGAGAACCATGGCCTCAGATTTGGAGGTGCTGATCCTCATCCCAGCCGCTTCACACTCGGTTGCGAACCGATCCAGTGAGTGCTGAAGGTCGCAGACCGATGAAGCCATTAGAACCACATCATCTGCAAAAAGCAGTGGTGCAATCCTTAGTCCACCGAACTGCAGACCCCCTCCCCAATGACTACGCCTCGAAATCCTGTCCATCAATACCACAAACAGGATTGGTGACAAAGCGCAGCCCTGGCGGAGGCAAACCCTCACCGGGAATGGGTCCGACTTACTGCCGAGGACCCGGACACGGCTCTCGCTTTGGGAGTACAGAGATTGGATGGCCCTGAGTAGAGACCCCTTCACCCCATACTCCCGCAGCACCTCCCACAGTAACTCCCTGGGAACTCGGTCATACGCCTTCTCCAAGTCTACAAAACACATGTAGACCGGATAAGCGTACTCCCAGGCCCCCTCCAGGATCCTTGCGAGTTTAAAAAGCTGATCCTCGTTCCACGACCAGGACGGAATCCGCATTGTTCCTCCTCAATCTGAGGGTCGACAATCGGCCGGACCCGCTTTTCGAGTACCTTAGAGTAAACTTTCCCAGTTATTTACCTGCAGACAGCGTGCGCTCTATAACGTTTATTAATATTAATTACAGTTTATCTACCTGCAATCTAACTTTCCTTAAAGTTGAGTATTTAACTGATTTTGTGATTTGATGATTGTGTTGCAGTTTGAGGAGGACTTCCTGGAGAACATGGATGACTTTGTGACGTTGGACGAGCTACAGGAGGACGAGGAGGAAGATGAGGAAGAGGAGGAGGACACCACCGGTACTAACTGCACAACAACATCAATTATTGTTATTATTTTATATATTTGTACAGTAGCATTGAGTCAACTTGTTAAATATTATCTCCAGGTTTTCTGGACATTTGTCACAAATGTTACTGAAAATGTTTCAGATATTTTACCTATTTTATTTTCCAGTTTTTTTGTCATTGTCTTCCAGTATTCTCCAGATTTCTTTTGGATATCTTATTAACATATTCAGATATTTATACTTGTCTCTTTCGTTGAAACTAACGTTGTTCCTCCTCCCTGTTCGTCTCCTCTCTGCAGACAACTCCAGGAAAGGGGTGAGTAACGTTTGATAGAGAGTTTATTATTACCACTTAGATGTTTTTATATTTGCTAAATATCTTCCTCCTCCTCCTCCTCTTCCTCTTCAGGGCATGAGGGTGGTGAACATCGTGGGCTTCAGGCGAGGTTATAAGTTCATGAACGACCTTCTGGCCCTGGCAAAGCCGTTTGGGAAGGTGGTGAAACATCTGGTGCTGGACCTCAGACCTGAGGTACGCTGCAGGAAGATGTGATTTACAATCATTTCAATTGTACTTTAAGAGAGTCAGGTGTTTCAATTAATAATCCTCCTCCTCCTCCTCCTCCTCCTCCTCCTCCTCCTCCTCCTCCAGGCGTATCTTCAGTTTACCACAGAAGAAGAAGCTCGAGCTATGGCTACCTTCTACAGCTGTAATGTGACAGCTTCTATCTGTGGTCGACCAGTGAGAATCAGCCATTCAACGAGCTATCCTACCATCCAGGTGAGAAACATCATCACCTGAGGAGAACTACACTCTTCTTCTTCATGTGTTCCTGACTCTTCTTCTTCATGTGTTCCTCAGTGTGGATCCAGTAAAGTTGTTTACCTCGGTCAGATCCCGAACTGTAAATACTCCGACGGTGACGTCCTGAAACTGGCCGAACCGTACGGAAGAGTCCGGAAGTATTTCCTCAACCGGCTGAAGAGAGAGGTACAGAACCAGAACCACTAGAACAAGAGCCAGAACAACCAGAACCACTAGACCTAGAACCAGAATCAGAAGAACTAGAACCACTAGAACAAGAACCAGAATCACCAGAACCAGAACCAGACCTAGAACCATAACTAGAACCAGAACCACAAGAACCAGAACCACTAGAACCAGAACCAGAACCATAACTAGAACCAGAACCACAAGAACCAGAACCACAACCACAAGAACCAGACCTAGAACCAGAACTAGAACCAGGACCATCTTAACTCTGGCATGAGATTCAGAAATGAAGTCAAAATCTTTTTTTTCTTTAGCTTTCTTTAACCTACAAGAAAAAATAATAAAAATTCTCTGAGATTATGAAGTCCTACATGTTGTACATTTTAATCGGCTTAACGTCTGAATTTATAAGGAAAAAAACTGACATCTGCTTTGTGAACAAAATCTCTATTATATGATATGACCTCTTAAAGGCAAATCTGAAAACTTCAATTATACATAAAGGAAAACAGAAGATATGTTTTTGGTGAAGGAGCAACAGGAATACATGTATTTATCATAGACTGTATATATAAATGGACGTAGTGTCCGTGACGTCACCCATAGGATTCTGCAGAGTTGCCGTGAAGCCCTTAGTAGGCGGAGTCGGCCACTAACGGCTCGACTGTGACGTCAGAGTCTAATCCCACCTGCTCCAAATAAGGGCAAAGAGGCGGGACCTGCTGCCTCCGAACTGGAAGTAAACAGAGCTAGCTCAGGCTAAGAAGCTAAGCTAACATGAAATACATGCATACCAAGTTACTGCCAACAGTGTAGTTCCCCTATATAAACGTTACATTCATAATCAAATGAGACAATCTGCAAGAGAATTAGCTATATTTTATTATTCTTGATGCTTGTCATTCACACGTTGAGAAAAGACGGACTCCACCGCCCGGACCTAACGGAGCCGCAGTGGGCTAGCTCCGGGATGCCGGCTGGAGCTAGCCCCCTGCGGCTCCGTTAGCTCCGGCGGCCACCACTGGGATAATTGGGTCCCCTATAACATTTGCTCCCGTTTAGCATTATGGGCGTCATAGCCATAGACTATAAAAGTCTTACCCAAGGCTGAATCATAAACTAAAATGTATATGTATGCATAAAGGGTTACGTCCTTAGCTGGCTAATAAGTAACAAGCTAAGCTACCAAGCACACAAACACCTGCAAACGGGGTTAACATGTATAATATTATCATTTTAGACTTCTTGGAAGTTCTGTTAGTACATTCAAGCGCACAGTACAACATTTTAATTGTCTGGTATTTGTAATAATATTCCCTAAAAGGCACAATCACCACGAACGCGGCTAAAGCTAAAGGGTCAAGTACAGTGCTATGACTAACTAACGTTGTAGCCTCTATGGTTGTAGCCTAGCAGAGTGGACAAGTTGCTGTTAGCTGACAGTGAGGCATGTACATGTCCATCAAAGTGACCACGCCCTAATTTATGCAAAAACTTTCAAACCTAATATAAATAAAAGGGTCGTGTTAGAAAACAATTCACTCACAGATTCATAATCATGAAGGTGGAATCTAACTATATTGATAATAATATTTATTGCATCCAGGGGTAGAAACATGTTTTTTTCTGCTGTAAAGTTGGGCATGGGGGTCTATGGAAATTGCTCCTTTCTGCAGCCAGTCCCTAGCGGCCCATGTATGAACTGCAGTGTGTGGCACTTCCGTATTGGCGTCCCGGCTGTTCCCCAGAGTTTGCCGCTTGGTATTTATCCATGGTGTGTCCGCAGTGCTTTGTGGAGATGGAGAAGGCGGAGGAAGCGGAGAGAATGGCTGAAGATTGCAAAGAGAATCCTCCGAAGTTCAACGGGAAGCGACTCACGGTTTACGTCAGCAGGAAGTACCGGCAGCTCAAACACGGGTACGTTAACTGTTAGAAAACTCTCCCTGGTCCCCGGCTTGAGCTTCAACCTCAGGATCCATGTATGTGTGATCCTCTCCAGAAGGAGTCATCACATACACAGACTAGTTCCTGAACAGTGTCCTTCACAAGCTGATATCCAAGAGAGGGAGTTACACAGTCACAAGATGGAGGAATAGAAAGCAGCATTCAATGTTTACTTCAGATTAGCTCCACGTCAGAAATGAGCATGCTTGATGTCTCTCTCCATAGAGGCTGAATCATCATGTTAATCACATAGCTATCATCTGCCTCAAACAGTCCTGATGCTCTTCTAGGTAATCACACATCCTGTCATGTTCTCAGCTACAATTGATATCTTTGTTATAATGTTCCTCTCATGTTGGAAGAGGACATTCAGAATTTTGCCAACAGTTAGTAGTGCTGCAGATAATTAAATATACTAGAGAAATCTTTCAAAAGTTGATAAAAGTCCTTAAATTGGCACAAACTCCTTTTTTGAGGTTTGTCATCCAGTTTCAATGTTAAATGAAGGAAAATGACATTTTGGTGCTTGTATCCACTTTAACATTGTTACAGGTATAAAATAGAATAGAAAGCTTTAATTGTCATTATATACAAATATACAACGAGATGTTGGAGTGCAACCCTGTCACAATGCACAGAGACGAAAAACAGACCAGTGGGACGGACGAAAGTAAACAATCATCCATACAAAGAACACACACCTGGCCCTCAAAGAACACACACCTGGCCCTCAAAGAACATACACCTGGCCCTCAAAGAACACACACCTGACCCTCAAAGAACACACACCTGGCCCTCAAAGAACACACACCTGACCCTCAAAGAACACACACCTGGCCCTCAAAGAACACACACCTGACCCTCAAAGAACACACACCTGGCCCTCAAAGAACACACACCTGACCCTCAAAGAACACACACCTGACCCTCAAAGAACACACACCTGGCCCTCAAAGAACACACACCTGGCCCTCAAAGAACACACACCTGACCCTCAAAGAACACACACCTGGCCCTCAAAGAACACACACCTGACCCTCAAAGAACACACACCTGGCCCTCAAAGAACACACACCTGGCCCTCAAAGAACACACACCTGGCCCTCAAAGAACACACACCTGACCCTCAAAGAACACACACCTGGCCCTCAAAGAACACACACCTGACCCTCAAAGAACACACACCTGGCCCTCAAAGAACACACACCTGACCCTCAAAGAACACACACCTGGCCCTCAAAGAACACACACCTGGCCCTCAAAGAACACACACCTGGCCCTCAAAGAACACACACCTGGCCCTCAAAGAACACACACCTGACCCTCAAAGAACACACACCTGACCCTCAAAGAACACACACTTCGCCCTCAAAGAACACACACTTCGCCCTCAAAGAACACACACCTGACCCTCAAAGAACACACACCTGACCCTCAAAGAACACACACATGGCCCTCAAAGAACACACACCTGGCCCTCAAAGAACACACACCTGGCCCTCAAAGAACACACACCTGACCCTCAAAGAACACACACCTGGCCCTCGAAGAACACACACCTGACCCTCGAAGAACACACACCTGGCCCTCGAAGAACACACACCTGGCCCTCGAAGAACACACACCTGGCCCTCGAAGAACACACACCTGGCCCTCGAAGAACACACACCTGACCCTCGAAGAACACACACCTGACCCTCGAAGAACACACACCTGGCCCTCGAAGAACAAACACCTCGCCCTCAAAGAACACACACCTGACCCTCAAAGAACACACACCTGGCCCTCAAAGAACACACACCTGACCCTCAAAGAACACACACCTGACCCTCAAAGAACACACACCTGGCCCTCAAAGAACACACACCTGACCCTCGAAGAACACACACCTGGCCCTCAAAGAACACACACCTGGCCCTCGAAGAACACACACCTGGCCCTCGAAGAACACACACCTGACCCTCGAAGAACACACACCTGGCCCTCGAAGAACACACACCTGGCCCTCGAAGAACACACACCTGGCCCTCGAAGAACACACACCTGACCCTCGAAGAACACACACCTGGCCCTCGAAGAACACACACCTGGCCCTCGAAGAACACACACTTGGCCCTCAAAGAACACACACCTGACCCTCAAAGAACACACACCTGACCCTCAAAGAACACACACCTGACCCTCAAAGAACACACACCTGACCCTCAAAGAACACACACCTGACCCTCAAAGAACACACACCTGACCCTCAAAGAACACACACCTGACCCTCAAAGAACACACACATGGCCCTCAAAGAACACACACCTGGCCCTCAAAGAACACACACCTGACCCTCGAAGAACACACACCTGGCCCTCGAAGAACACACACCTGACCCTCAAAGAACACACACCTGGCCCTCAAAGAACACACACCTGGCCCTCAAAGAACACACACCTGGCCCTCAAAGAACACACACCTGGCCCTCAAAGAACACACACCTGGCCCTCAAAGAACACACACCTGACCCTCAAAGAACACACACCTGACCCTCAAAGAACACACACCTGACCCTCAAAGAACACACACCTGACCCTCAAAGAACACACGCCTGGCCCTCAAAGAACACACACCTGACCCTCGAAGAACACACACCTGACCCTCAAAGAACACACACCTGGCCCTCAAAGAACACACACCTGACCCTCAAAGAACACACACCTGACCCTCAAAGAACACACACCTGGCCCTCAAAGAACACACACCTGACCCTCAAAGAACACACACCTGACCCTCAAAGAACACACACACCCTGGCCCTCAAAGAACACACACCTGGCCCTCAAAGAACACACACCTGGCCCTCAAAGAACACACACCTGGCCCTCAAAGAACACACACCTGGCCCTCGAAGAACACACACCTGGCCCTCAAAGAACACACACCTGACCCTCAAAGAACACACACCTGGCCCTCAAAGAACAAACACCTCGCCCTCAAAGAACACACACCTGACCCTCAAAGAACACACACCTGACCCTCAAAGAACACACACCTGACCCTCAAAGAACACACACCTGGCCCTCGAAGAACACACACCTGACCCTCGAAGAACACACACCTGGCCCTCAAAGAACACACACCTGGCCCTCGAAGAACACACACCTGGCCCTCGAAGAACACACACCTGACCCTCGAAGAACACACACCTGGCCCTCGAAGAACACACACCTGGCCCTCGAAGAACACACACCTGGCCCTCGAAGAACACACACCTGGCCCTCGAAGAAACACACACCTGGACCCTCGAAGAACACACACCTGTGCCCTCGAAGAACACACACCTGGCCCTCAAAGAACACACACTGACCCTCAAAGAACACACACCTGACCCTCAAAGAACACACCCTGCCCTCCAAAGAACACACACCTGACCCTCAAAGAACACACACCCTGACCCTCAAAGAACACACACCTGACCCTCGAAGAACACACACATGGCCCTCGAAGAACACACACCTGGCCCTCGAGAGACACACACCTGACCCCTCGAAGAACACACACCTGGCCCTCGAAGAACACACACCTGGCCCTCGAAGAAACACACACCTGACCCTCAAAGAACACACACCTGGCCCTCAAAGAACACACACCTGGCCCTCAAGAACACACACCTGGCCCTCAAAGAACACACACCTGGCCCTCAAAGAACACACACCTGACCCTCAAAGAACCACACACACTGACCCTCAAAGAACACACACCTGACCCTCAAAGAACACACACCTGGCCCTCAAAGAACACACACCTGGCCCTCAAAGAACACATCACCTGACCCTCAAAGAACACACACCTGACCCTCGAAGAACACACACAACCTGACCCTCGAAAGAACACACACCGGCCCTCGTAAGGAACACACCTGGCCCTCGAAGAAACACACACCTGACCCTCAAAGAACACACACCTGGCCCTCAAAGAACACCACACCTGACCCTCGAAGAACACACAACCTGACCCTCAAAGGAACACACACCTGGCCCTCAAAGAACACACACCTGGCCCTCAAAGAACACACACCGACCCTCAAAGAACACACACCTGACCCTCAAAGAACACACACCTGGCCCTCAAAGAACACACACCTGACCCTCAAAGAACACACACCTGACCCTCAAAGAACACACACCTGGCCCTCAAAGAACACACACCTGACCCCTCAAAGAACACACACCTGACCCTCAAAGAACACACACCTGGCCCTCAAAGAACACACACCTGACCCTCAAAGAACACACACCTGACCACTCAAAGACACACACCTAACCCTCAAAGAACACCACACCTGGACCCTCAAAGAACACACACCTGACCCTCAAAGAACACACACCTGACCCTCAAAGAACACACACCTAACCCTCAAAGAACACACACCTGGCCCTCAAAGAAACACACACCTGGCCCTCAAAGACAACACACCTGGCCCTCAAAGAACAACACACCTAACCCTCAAAGAACACACACATGGCCCTCAAAGAACACACACCTGGCCCTCAAAGAACACCACACTGACCCTCAAGAACACACCACCTGCCTCAAAGAACACACACCTGACCCTCAAAGAACACACACCTGACCCTCAAAGAACACACACCTGACCCTGAC